ACTATAGTTAAGACATTCTATACAATTGATATCTGAATATCTAATAATGATGATCCTTCAAGTACTAGTCCAGATCTACTATTGTTTTTTTACTTTTTCTAGGCTTTCACACCAAAAGATAACATTATGCCATTTATAACCCCAGTTCAGGTATCATCTTACCAAGAACACATGATAAAAGTAGAAAGGGGTTCATCATGGCACCTATGTGTAACATGATAGGGAAATACAAAGGTCAAACAGGGTATTAACACAGAAGGGTCCTTGTAATAAGTTACACAGATTATCAAACCAACTGTCACTAAGCAACTCATACATGTTTCTAGCTACGTCTGGTCAACTTAGTCCAAACTTGTTCACTGTGTACACTATATACTTTTATCCATATCCTGGTTTTGAAATTAGGACAGGGACTTTATAAATCTTTAGCAGATTTAGACTGCTGCAATTGTGGTAGACCAGATATTTCACTTGGATGCTTGTCCAGTTGTACGGCTCTAGATTTGCATTTATACAAAGTTGATTTTTTCACATGGCCAGATCTAGATACATGTAACTTTTAAGAAATATCATGTGCACATGAATGCACCTCAATTTTTTCAGGGACTCCCCGAACTCTAGACAGACACTCTACCGAATGAGCTACTTGGTCGCTGACGATCGACCCAGTCCTCCTTTTCTATGTCTTCACTCCTGAAGACTCATTATGTACGACCCAGGTTAGGGTATCCCCTTGTCAATACCTGAAACAAGGGTTAGTCACAGGCACCAGTGTAACAGGAGGAGAAATAGAAATGCAAAGGCCAGACAAAGATTTGATTCCGGGACTCTCCGAACTGTAGTTATATATATGCTCTACCAACTACAAGCTATACCTGGTCATCGATGACCAACAGCTACCGGCCTGGTCGCCAAATAACTAACAACTATCTGGTCGCCGAATAACTAACAACTACCTTGTCGCCGAATAACTAACAACTACCTGGTCGCCGAATAACTAACAACTACCTGGTCGCTGAATAACTAACAACTACCTGGTCGCCAATGACTAACAGCTACTTGGTCGCAGACGACCAACAGCTACCTGCAGGTCGCTGAATAACTAACAACTACCTGGTCGCCGATGACGAACAGCTACCTGGTCGCCGATGACCAACAGTTACCTGGTTGCCGATGAACAACTAAAGTCCATGACGTTCCACTTAACTATTATACCAGTCCACACTTCCTTTTCAGATTCAATCCCACATTTAAACTTGCACCACATTGCTGTACATAGTGCTCACAAGAGGATGCTCTGAATACTTACAGGGTATAGTCTCCTATTGTAATCACCACCTCATCTTAGTAAACATTATAGAATATACATCTATAGGTATTAATATCAACGATGCAACAGTCAGTCATCACCATCAACATAGAATTTTATGTAACAATAAGCATTTCAGTTCAAAATGAAACTTATTCTAATTCTAAGACAGAAATGACATCTCTGAAATGACAGTTACAGACCGGAGAGCTTTGTACCAAAGTAAGGAAAGTAATGCGTAAATACGGCTGTTTAATTAAACAGTATATTTCAGGGGATGTAAAACCTTGGATTGACGTTAGTCAACGGGTATGTGACGATAAACAAAACACTTACACTTCAAGAATTCGGTCTCCTTTCCGTATTCCTGCCCTCTGGGCTGCGCCTCCTTCCAGCACAGCACTGACATGTTGTAGGGGTGCATACAGCACGCCATTGATAGATTTCAACACTCCTCCTTCGCTAACTTGACCTCTGACATTAAAACCAAACCCTGTCTCAGTTTTTGTGATTGTCACGACCCTGGGTCCCAGGTCATCCTGTCGAATGTCAGGAGAGGAGGGTGGGCTGCTATCATCGCTGTCCGCCATCATTGGTCATGTGACCAAACTAAAATAACTTCCGGTTTCATTGGCACACATAATCGATAGTTGAATAGTTATCCTATCTGTAGCGGAGTACATCTTCACCGTCTGTAGAAAATGGTGGTCTAATATCCATAGAAAATTAACTACAAACATTCATAAACAGTGTGTTTAAATGTGTAAAGTTAGATAACGTACCATTCACATAGTAAGTGGTCCCTGGGGTCTGTTACGCTTGTATATATATATATAGGTGTGCTTCATATTTTGTCTCGAATTTCTTATTCGATTTCTCTCATAAACATTTCTGTTGTTATGTGGCATTTTAATATCTCGTCATTGTCATCATTAATTTGGTATACAGCTATGCATGTTGAACAAGAGGTTCAGTGGTCCTGTATCGCTCACCTGGAATTAAGAATTAGTCTCTTGAGTTGAGAAAATTAAAACCACAGGGCTAATCAAGATCAGTTTCGTCTCCCCCATGATAGGCAATTGTATGTATGGTTGTGGAGAAAGGGACATGCAACTGTTTCCGTTATATTACGTTACTGTTAATCCTCATGGGCAGGGCTGGACCACGGAGCTAATTTTGGTAGCATATTTGTGTTAGTCTATTCATAATCAGCGATTGTCCCTAGGGTTAAAGGGTGGAAATCTCCACTGTTTCAGCGTTATGGCCAAGGTAGTTCCGTCTTTGCGTATTGCAGAGTTATCTTCTCTTGGGAGCAGGTATTGATTGTTGCGTCATTGGTGTGTGTGAGAAAATTACGTTGTTTTCTCAAAAAATGATGACGTTACTCTCGCAGACAAGTGACGTAACAATCAATACCTGCTTCAAGAGAAGATAATCCTGCAATACGCAAAGATGGAATATAATAATCAAAGTGCCCTTAGGCAGGACCCCACCCGGTAGTAGGGGAGGCCGGGGCAAGTTCGGCTGAGTTAGTCCGCCACCCCTGGTATTTTTGGTCTTGTGCAAATACTTACAACTTTGAGGGTTTAAGCAGTTAAGTTGCCTCGGGGGAAATTCCATAACACGAAAAAATGGCGAGGAAAACTCAATTATAAAATTACTAAAAAGGAGAAAGTTACATCTGGAAGGGAAGAAAGAAAATCTTAACCTCACTTCTTTCTAATTTTGCTAACTTTCTGTCAGCCAAATTGCTACTTATTTACGTCATACGTGTAAGAATTCAACAGATTTTTGTATTGATCTTGAACATCCTTTACTTACAAAAAAAGTTTAATCTATCAAAACTTTTGACTTTTCGACCATTTACACCACCTTACTTCAATCAAACTGAAGGAAAGTCTTCGATCTCTTATTATGCGAGTTGAAATGAGAGGTGAACAACGATATACATATCTGGTTGTAAATCATTTTGAAGCATATTTTGTGATAGGTAAACCAGACGTCATTAAGAAATATACTTATGACGATATTGTGAGAGTGATTGAGCTCCTAGTAGCAGTATCTTTGTTGAGTTTGGTGGTAAGATTTTCCAGCAGCCTGTAGACATTCCTCTGGGAACAAACTTTGCCCCTCATCTGGCTAATTTGTTTTCGATTTCATATGAAGCTGACTTTACTGATGAGCTAATTAAATTGAGATACATTGATAACATGCTGTCTTTAAATAACAAGAAAATGACCACGTCGATCGTATATACCCTCCAGAGCTTTAAATCAAGGAAACTTCAGACTCTTCTATTTCAGTCGCTTTCCTCGATCTTTACTTATAACATGACAAACAGGGATCACTTATTACTACTAAGCTGTACGATTAGCGGCGATTTCGACCTCCCGATCAAGCAAGTATGTGGTTATAGTGTAGGGATCTCCCTAGATCTGACCTTGCTCCTCAGCCCATGGAGAGTCAGCCCAATGCTGCCGATTTGCAGAGAAAAGGTCATTACACGCAAAATGTACATACGATTATTCCTGTTTGGCTTCACCTCAATTTAAATGATATTTCTAAATATGAACAAGCACTTGACGAGATTAAACAAAAGCATCAATTGTCGTTATTATAACGTCCGATGTCATAAAAGGGACATAACGCACACGTAACTGGTGACTCTAGAATACAGCTGTCGGGCAGCCGTTACACAAACACGAACAATCTGGCTCCTCAATAATTGTCAGTTTTCCCAAGTGGTACCATATTTCCACTGAAGCCATCCAAATTAATATACAAGATTAGATCCACTGACAATGGAAATGTCACCATTCCCGTTCATATGACTGAATAGTTTTAAATGTGGGTTTTATTATGACGAAAAAATAAATTAATAAATTAATTAAAAACTTGTTGATATTAAAAACTGTACAGGATGCTGTTCACTTTTTGTTTTGTTTTCCTTAACAAAAATGATAACATCGAGATATAATTGTAGTTAGATAAGAAGTATTTTTTATGAAAATGGACTGGGTTTTCTTTTGTTTCTGTAGAATTAGATTATTTTTGTTATTCCAAGTTTAATCACAATGAATGACTGAATTAACTACACTGTAATTAGTAAACTAATTGAGAGAGGGCCTAGTAAGCTGTAAGAACGTGTGACCAATCCATTTGACTATTCAGTGTCAATAAAACAAGTTTAAATGAATAAACTAATTTGTAAGTGATAAATGAATTAACTCATTAATAACAGAGGCGTATATATACTACTTCAGGTGGCTATGTGGCTATGTGAATAAGTAGATAAATTGAGGATGCGATGTATACTGAAGTTGAACGATCGAAGGAAATGTAACTTACAATAATAATGATTTTTTGATATAGGAAATCTATATTAAGAAAGACAAAAATATAATTTATCTGTGAAGCCTCTTGTCTGTGAATGACGTCGACATAATATTATATAAGTTATGCAATGTCCAGAAAAGAACATCTAATGATCATGAACTGAATGTGTTTTCGCACGAGCTGTCGGTACATGACATGTTACGTCGACCTCATGAACTTGATGATGATTGATCAAGTTCATGGAGTCGATGGGAACAGTCGGCTCTTTCCGTAAACGTATTTTTTTTCGTTTACGGATGGTGACGAAGATTCCCGATTGGTGAGCAGAAAAGGTTGTTTAAATCGAACGCATCCAAAAAAGGGAACTTCCCTTAATCACGATCACAACGACGCTTGCTTTAACATGTGAAAGAGTGCACAACGGTGGCAAGGCGATCTCTACTTTCAGCTTCGATTATTGGTAAGTTATGAGTTAATTCACTTTATAAAGTAAGATATAATTTCACCTAGCTCGCAATTGATATAATATGAACTTTTATTTACCGTGTTTCTGCACTATTTTGAGCAAAATTGATTAAAAATGTGTCATAGACTTTCTCAAGTCCTGGATTCAACTTGTTTACATAAATTACATCTAGTTACGTTTACAAGTAACTGAGATAAACAGATATCAAAATCCTTGTATTAGTCAGTACTTTTTACCGTTTGTGATTACGAACGATGATATCGCACATGCACTTACTATTTCAAGAAGTTAAAAAAAAAATCATTAACCTACTCATGAATTTCCACCCAGACAAATGCACCATAACAAGTTACTCAATATATATCCAAAACGCACACAAATTAAACACCAATACACACTCAATGACCACACACTAGAATCTATAACTTTAAACAAATATCTACGTTAGGCATCACACTTCAAAACAACTAAAATGGGACAAACACATCTCTCCAAATCTCATATCAATAGTTTACAATTTTGTATCAACCAGGTCGAGGATATAAAATTAGTTGCAGTCATGACAAGGTTTGCAAGAGGAGGCTCCGAGAATAGCAAACGCCCACTAGATGCCACACCATGGAGAGACATGAAAGGTCAAAGTTCACAGGGCCATCAGACACATAAACAAAATGTGAAAGACTATAAACACAAGACAAGTTATACGAAGGACAAAGGTCAAGGAGAAGTGGAGAAAGGGCTAATGTTAACTCTGAAAAAAGAGACCAGAAGAGAAGACAGAAGAGTAAAGAGGATAGATAAACGAAAAGAGGAAAAGGTTAGGACCAACAAAGTTATTCCTTGTATTTCTTCTTGTGTCCTTTTATCCCAGAGAGTGCCCCAGTCATATCCAGTTGGAAAATATGATGCCCTAGGTAGTAATTAATCCATTTTATTGTACAAAATATTATCAGTCTGATGGAAAATGCCTTGAAAGTTCTAATTCTACGCTTCCTCACTTGTCCTGGAATGTTAACATCTCTTCTGTTCTTTACTTATTTCCTTTTCAGGTGTGTTACAACTGTCGTAGCGCTGGTCATGCAATGTCCGAGTGTCCAGAGGCCAAGAAAGATATCGAACAAGGGACAGGTATCTGTTTTAAGTGCGGGTCTACAGAACATGCTTCCAGCAAGTGTCGACTCAAACTTCCTGCAGGTAAATATCTAAAAGTTCTTTAAGGTCAATAAGGTGGCCTTCATTACAAATGTTTGAATCTAACGTATGTTAACTAGGTAGATTGGTTTCTAACAGCTTAGTGTTTAGGTTAGTCAAGCAGTGCAGTATTAACACACCTGCCTTTCACCGAGATTGCCAGAATTTTTATTCTCTGGTTAGATGTGAAAAAATATTTGGCCACCGTCCCAACTACATTGTATATGGGTTTTCTCTGGGAACTAGCCATGATACAATTGTAGCTCGGACAAGTTCGGTAACTGCAATTATCTTACCATAATATATGGAGTTATGGCCCTTTATTCAATTTCCAAATGTTTTCAATTGATTAACTTCAAAGTTCATAGGAAGGTTTGTTGCCATGAAAGCTAGGACAAGATGGATAACCACCATTGTCCAACTGTAGCTTATGGAGTTATGGCCCCTTATGTACAACAATACAGACACTGCTCATTCAATGTATGACGGGCGTATTATGTTCCGCTTTCGTGGTACCCTTGTTTTAATATTTGTTCTAAAATAAGATTACCATCAGATAGTCAATGAACATTGCATATACGCATCATAGATGTCAGAAACAAAGCCTAGAAATGAAAATATAAGGAAGATAATCCTAATTAAACACACTCTTCCCTTTGTTGACAGGCAAGTTCCCCTACGCCAAGTGTTTCATATGTGGAGAAATGGGTCATCTGTCAAAACAGTGCCCAGATAACCCAAGGGGATTGTATCCTATGGGTAAGTGTTGGTATGCATCTGTCTCAATTTCCAGATAACCTATTTTAATTTTTATCCATTGGTCGTGAAACTTCATGTATGTATTTGCAAATATCATCTTGTGTGTAAGATCCCCATAACTAATAAGACATTTGGTGTCATTGTTCCAGTTCACCATTGATTTCTTTTCAGGTTGTCATGAAACTTTGTCTATGTGTTTAAAAACATGCCCTCTTTTATGACAATGTATTTTGATCTTCTTTCATCAAAACAATGTCACTGTTGCTATAAATAGAATATCGGTGGCACCACTTCACAGCCTTCGTTTCCTATCATGAAACGTCATGTACATACTCATGGATATCACCTCTTTCATCAGTTTTAATTGCTACCCTTGAGGTTAAAAACTAAGTCACTGTAGCTAGAGATATAGTTTTTTTCCATCATCATTTTACAGATTATATTTCTGTTTTTACTTTCAAGTTAAGTTGAAATATATGTTCATAATCATCACCTCTTATGCCAGTTCATGTTTTGAGCTTTCTATCAAAGATCACCATTACTACAGGTAAAATATTTGAGAAAATTGAGCCTAAGTCGCTGTATAGAATAGATACATATACATAATATTAAAGTATTTCTGATCACTTTCAGTGAAGGGAGTGTTGGTATGAACTGTGATACCTTGTTTGATCAAAATCAATGTCTCTACATATATAACAGAAATACAATTTTATCAGAATCAGTCAGTCAGAGCTATGAAATACAAAGTCAAACACAAACATCCTTAGTAGAGCAGTATGATGAACATTTCTTCAGGGCTGTGTTGTTTGAAAACCCCACTGAGAGCTGATATTATATCAGTGAATGGTAAAACCCCATGAGAGCTGATATTATATCAGTGAATGGTAAAACCCCACTGAGAGCTGATATTATATCAGTGAATGGTAAAACCCCACTGAGAGCTGATATTATATCAGTGAATGGTAAAACCCCACTGAGAGCTGATATTATATCAGTGAATGGTTAAACCCCACTGAGAGCTGATATTATATCAGTGAATGGTAAAACCCCACTGAGAGCTGATATTATATCAGTGAATGGTAAAACCCCACTGAGAGCTGATATTATATCAGTGAATGGTTAAACCCCACTGAGAGCTGATATTATATCAGTGAATGGTAAAACCCCACTGAGAGCTGATATTATATCAGTGAATGGTAAAACCCCACTGAGAGCTGATATTATATCAGTGAATGGTTAAACCCCACTGAGAGCTGATATTATATCAGTGAATGGTTAAACCCCACTGAGAGCTGATATTATATCAGTGAATGGTAAAACCCCACTGAGAGCTGATATTATATCAGTGAATGGTTAAACCCCACTGAGAGCTGATATTATATCAGTGAATGGTAAAACCCCACTGAGAGCTGATATTATATCAGTGAATGGTTAAACCCCACTGAGAGCTGATATTATATCAGTGAATGGTTAAACCCCACTGAGAGCTGATATTATATCAGTGAATGGTAAAACCCCACTGAGAGCTGATATTATATCAGTGAATGGTTAAACCCCACTGAGAGCTGATATTATATCAGTGAATGGTTAAACCCCACTGAGAGCTGATATTATATCAGTGAATGGTAAAACCCCACTGAGAGCTGATATTATATCAGTGAATGGTTAAACCCCACTGAGAGCTGATATTATATCAGTGAATGGTTAAACCCCACTGAGAGCTGATATTATATCAGTGAATGGTAAAACCCCACTGAGAGCTGATATTATATCAGTGAATGGTTAAACCCCACTGAGAGCTGATATTATATCAGTGAATGGTTAAACCCCACTGAGAGCTGATATTATATCAGTGAATGGTAAAACCCCACTGAGAGCTGATATTATATCAGTGAATGGTTAAACCCCACTGAGAGCTGATATTATATCAGTGAATGGTTAAACCCCACTGAGAGCTGATATTATATCAGTGAATGGTAAAACCCCACTGAGAGCTGATATTATATCAGTGAATGGTTAAACCCCACTGAGAGCTGATATTATATCAGTGAATGGTTAAACCCCACTGAGAGCTGATATTATATCAGTGAATGGTAAAACCCCACTGAGAGCTGATATTATATCAGTGAATGGTTAAACCCCACTGAGAGCTGATATTATATCAGTGAATGGAAAAACCCCACTGAGAGCTGATATTATATCAGTGAATGGTTAATTCCCACTGATAGCTGATATTATATCAGTGAATGGTAAAACCCCACTGAGAGCTGATATTATATCAGTGAATGGTTAAACCCCACTGAGAGCTGATATTATATCAGTGAATGGTAAAACCCCACTGAGAGCTGATATTATATCAGTGAATGGTTAATTCCCACTGAGAGCTGATATTATATCAGTGAATGGTAAAACCCCACTGAGAGCTAATATTATATCAGTGAATGGCTAAACCCCACTGAGAGCTGATATTATATCAGTGAATGGTAAAACCCCACTGAGAGCTGATATTATATCAGTGAATGGCTAAACCCCACTGAGAGCTGATATTATATCAGTGAATGGTTGATTCCCACTGAGAGCTGATATTATATCAGTGAATGGTTAAACCCCACCGAGAGCTGATATTATATCAGTGAATGGTTAAACCCCACTGAGAGCTGATATTGTATCAGTGAATGGTAAAACCCCTCTGAGAGCTGTTATTATATCAGTGAATGGTAAAACCCCACTGAGAGCTGATATTATATCGGTGAATGGTAAAACCCCACTGAGAGCTGATATTATATCAATGAATGGTTAATGGAATACTTCAGGTATAGAACAGTCATGGACTTTAGTTAAGGTGAATATGTGGTTATGTGGACCTGAGAAAGTGATATTGATAGAAACAAAGTACAATTTAGAGGTTAATATCTCTTTTCATGTTAACATAATTACCTATTCACCTAAACTTGAAGTCCTTAGTTGTTATCAATTTAATTATACCGTGGAATCTGTATTAAGCGACCACCAAATGGAAATTGAAAAACTGGTCGTTAAATAAAAGTGGTCGTTTAATAAAGTTAGGCCATACTTTGCACCGAATTACACAATAGACTACATGTATAAGCAAACAACTCCTGTAAACAGACCACCACCCCAAGTACACATTTACACATGTATGAACAGGTAGTTAGAAACAACATCGTTCAACAGATCAGGTGAATAACTAAACAATAGTCGAGTAATATTTATGACAGTAAACAAACAACTAAGAGAGTTTGAGAAGAACTGTCATGTCACTCAGAACAAACGATCGACGGAGATCTGTATTAGATAAGAAATGAGAATGTTTTTATCGTATTATGTGAAGGGGTGAGGTCTCCTGCCGGGTGTCTTCGGCAGTATGTTTCAGTGAGTTAGCACTATAAAGTCAGCATCAGTTCCGCGCTATCACAAGGATACAAACATGAACATATCGCAGCCTCCTAAAACACACACGCATACACTACACGCATGAATCTTGTACACAGGGGAGGCCATCCTTAACTTACCATAGCTGTTGATAGGACGTTAATCATCACTAAACTAAACCAAATTTATCATTAAACAAGGATAACATAAGAAAATTGACAAAAGAATGTTTCTGTATGTGACAGACGAAATTGTGAAGTTACAACAGAAGTGGCATCTAATAAAATGAAAAATGAGTTGTTATAAACTTGATATCTGAAATTAATGATATCAGAAAATGTCTACATTGTGATTGTAATTTGATGGTTATCCTGTGAGATTGTGTTTCATGTTTCTGCTTGTTCAGGTGGATGTTGTAAGATCTGCGAGTCTGTTGAACATTACGAGAGAGATTGTCCTAACAGAACGGAACAGTCAGGTACGTTAGTTCGCTGTGTGAAGAAGTTGATATTCTCTTCATATACATGTAGGAACTATTCTAAAAGGGGATCTTGAATTAAAAACATTTCTCTTTAAATAAATCTTAAACTTATTCCCAAAAAGTATTTGCTTTGAATGAAAGTTTATTTTATACTTATCACAATTTGTTTTCTAACTTTTGTTTTCTATAAATGTCTGAACAAAATATCTGAAAGTGCATTTTTTTTCTCCATCAAAAATTAAGACATCAAAAAACTTCAAATGTAAGTTTTGATCAGATACAAGTTTTTACTAAAAATAATATTTTCATCAAAGGTTTTAAAAAATAAAATGTTCTTACATGTATATGACTGGACTCTGGGTTAAGCCGCTAATGTTTTGGTCACAGTAGGGGTCAAAGATTTTTTTCTTAAAATTTGTTGATTTGTGTAGTAGGACTTCAGATTAAGTTTAATATAACACAAATTTACGAACAGCTAAGGTCAAGGTTCAATTAATATTTGAAAGTGGAAGGTTGTCTTATATACCACAGAAAGAAAAATGCAAGCTCGGTAAATTTGGTGATGAATTTCATTATTCAACTGTACAGAACAATAATACTTACCAGTAGAAGAAACCATAGGTCTAGGTACTATCTTAAATATTGTTTCCAGTATTGTTTAAATATACAAGTTTTCCGTACAGATGAGGACAGAAAAGACTTCCTGCTGACATGGAAGCCTGGCACTAGTGCAGACGAGGAAGTATCAACCCTGCACAGACCTGCTCCCCCTCTAAAGAAAAAAACAGGACCAAAACTCGTCAAGTTTTAATGTTAGATTTGTTATCGATTAAAATGTTTAACTTAAGAACTGTCAAATTGTTGATATTATATTTTAGAAAACATGCAATTTGACATGGAAATCTAGAAGATGTCTGCCTGATTTCTTATATCAGACATAAGGACTGGATAGGTACAGCATTAAACTGATGATGAGACATCAGCTGAAACTATTTAATGTGCCATATTACTGAGGTTGAACTATCAAAATGTTTTAATGATTTTTGACGTTAAATGAATTTATTACTTTAAATTTATTACATTAATAAAATACAGTGAAACCACAATTATTAAGGGATCAACTGAGTTAAAGAGAAAGCTTTTCAATACCTACATTATAGATATTATTATAGGTTAAAGATATAGGCTAACTGAACTGTATGTAATCACCACCAGTTATATGGGACAACATCGTGAACTTCCTAAAGGTTGTCTAGGTTTTACTTCACATCATCAATTGTACAGTCTATTATTTTATTTATTACTTAATTATTAATTGATTGAGTAACAAATAATTCTCAAATAGAAGACCACAATAGGAAAAGCATGGCACAGCACTGTGTTGTATCTTTGAGAAAGATACTTTACTCTGCCAGTTCCAGTCTACTCAGCTGTAAATGAGTACGTGGTTGGGCAGTGCTAGAATTGTAGAATGCTAGCTGTGAGCGCCGATATGGCAGCACTGGCTGTATGCTCCCCAATGAGTTGAGAAAGATATTGGTTGGGGTTGCAAAGGCCCTTTAACCACGGATAATAATTTGTGAACCGCTTTGAGACAACCTATCAACTAGGTTGTGATTACCTGTAACTGAGCGAGATCGGGTTATCTCGGTCAAGGGCTAAGATTCTGTAACATAATCCCAACCGGGATGTTACAGAATCTTAGCCAGAGACTGAGATAACCCGATCTCGCTCACTTTCAGGTAATTGATTTTTTTTCTCGCACCTTTTACTCATTAATATTCAATTTCGCCATTGTCTACACGTATCCCGTCGGGGCCTCAAACAAATACGGCCTCTTCACTTCTACAGCTACGTCTGTATGCTTCCTCGTAAACAATGTAATTCGTCCTTACAAAGAAAACTCACAGTGAAGATCAAATTTTATCTACAACATAAAAGAATCTTACAACATCAAAACAGTACATAAAAAGAAGAATATAATGCAGATAGTCAATTCGAGCCGATTTTTATTAGTATATATATACCTTATGTGAAGTCACACTTTCGAATTGTTGCCACGAAGTTTTTTAAGGAGCTTACATCTCCTTGTCAGACTCTGACAGAGTCTGTTATGATTAGACGTCTGAATCTCCGACTAGGTGGATATACAACTGGATTAGTGTGATTGTTAATTGTGATATTGAACACACACCCATGGATAACACTTCCTGTAAACACAGATCTTTCGGATGTCTGTTGAGCACACATGTTGGATTGTCGGTACACACATGGGACGCGAATGTTTTGACCTCGATCTGTCAGATTGTTGTCAGTAGTGTTACAAAGCATAGACGAAATGCTACTTTTTTGTGCACTTGTCATTGCCTTGTAATTGTTCAAAGAATTCTGATTTTTGTGACCGGTGATTTGTACTGCCTGTGTGTCAGGGATGTCATTCTCCAGGAGTTTCTGACAGGGATGTTTTCTGACGGAAATATTAGTAAGTCTTTTCTCACATTTTAAGTTCGCATTTGCTGTCAATTTTCAAAGGACTATGGTGAGCTTATGCCATACCGCAGCGTCCGTCAACTTTTCCTTTAAAACGTTACTAGTCCTGAACGACCAAGTAGATTTTGACTAAAGGACTATGTATGGTTTGGGCCTTTTTGGCCCCCAAATCCATCAAAATTAAAAATCAGCAATAGAACTTTCAAACGAATGTTTCTTTAATTTTGAATAATTCCCCAGTTCTATGATGTAAACATTTGTTTGTGTTTTCCAGTTTGGCTGCCATGGTTACCAGGTCATATTTGCATAAATTATTGAAATTTGATTATTCAGTCAATTTTGACAGGTTTTCACCTAGTTTTTATACGACCGTCAAATTTGACGGTAGTATTATGGTATGAGGTTGTACGTCCGGCCGCCTGGCCGGCCGGCGTAAACTTTGTCCGGCAATCTCCTCCCACATTTTTTCGACCGATCTCTTTGAAACTTGGTATACATGATAATCATTATATGAAGTTGTGTCTCCCTTAAAAGAATTTGATTCAACAATTTTTGCAAAATTTATTGCCTTTTGTTCATTTCAGTATTTGATTTTTTTGTCTGAAGATTTTCTCCTACATTTTTTATTTTTATAGCATATCAGCTAACCATTCTTAGAATGATGCAGATCTTATTTCAATGTGAGAAAGTATATAATACTATATGGTATTCGACGGGTGTATATTTTGTTCCGCCCCGCGGTACTCTTGTTCTCTTAGCTACCATAGAGCGAACTCTTGAACAAACTTTATATTTCTCCTAAAGATGTATTACAGGTGCCTACACATTATCCATTGATATTAAGTTTGTTCAAGCATGCGCTCTATAGTTTCTAGGAGAAAAACTATGCAAAATATCACAATATTCACTGAATATTCAACTTTTTCTAATTTATGCAAATTTGAACTTGTTACCATAGCAGCAATAATTAAAAATATAAATAAATATTTTCATGATAGTATTTGGGAAGTATTCAAAATTAGAGAAACAGTCATTTCAAAGTTCATTCAAAGGTTTTGAATTTTGATGCAGTTGGGGGCCAAAAAAGGCCCAAACCATACATGGTCCTTTGGTCTGGAGCATCCTTGGGCCAAGGGGACTCAATTTTGTATAAATGGTGGGTTTGGCCTCCCTTGGGGCAGAGGGCCGGGGCAGAAAGCGGGAAAAAGAGGTAAAACCTTCAAAATCCTTCTCCTACAATAGGGATTTAGGGTATTTTATCCTAATTTAGTCTGGAGCATCCTTGGGCCAAGGGGACTCAATTTTGTATAAGTAGTGGGTGTGGTCTCCCAGGTGGCAGAAGGGTGGGGCCCAATAGGAGAAATAGAGGTAAAACCTATTGAATCCTTCTTCGACCATTAGGATTAAGGTATTTTATCCTTGGCCCCCCCCCCCCCAGGGGCATAGGAATGGGGCTCTGTTTGAAGTTTGTTCTCGCTATATCTCAAGTACTAGTACTAGATGGATCTTTCTGAAATTTCATATGTACTTACAGCACCTACCATGGAGTGCTTTATCTTTACTTCATACCAATTATTTAAACATATTCCGGTGAGCGATACAGGCCCTCTGGGCCTCTTGTTCTCATCATACTTTTTAGCTTGTTCTGGCCCACAGGGCATCTTGCGAACCACTGATCGTAGTTTTTTTTTTTTTTTTTTATCGTACTCGCGGCCAGATAGAATGGGTGGTAATTATCAGAGAAATTCGCTGGTCTCATCTTTTTGTATGTTTTGTATATAGCGACTGGACATCTCTCGGGATTTTCAAAATTTTGCCCTTGTTTTTTTCTAAATAGCGAAATGTCTGCCCCTGTCCTAGTTTTAGTTTGCCGCTCCAAGAATTCTCTATTTACTTCTTGGTCCAATCCATGATGAACGTCACCCCAGCACAGAGCCCTGTGCTCGACTGCCCCACCACCCCTCATTCTGAACAACAATGTGTTGTTGAACCATACTGTTGCGTGTTTAGAATGGAATTTGGTGAATTGGAACCAAGTTCCCCGGCATCGTAAAGTACATTGATATCCGTGTCGGAAATCGCATCTGCTGTTTTTGGTTGATTTCCAAGTCCTTGTTTTTTAAGATTTTTTTGTTTGCTTTTTAAAGTGCTTCTTGTTTTTGTGAAATTTACATATGTTATTTAACTTTCACCATACTTTTTTTGTTTAAGTTCCCTTTCAAAACTTCCCAACATTCCTCTTAGAGTTGTTGGCTCGTATTCAGACCCATCTTTTTGCCTAACACTCATGAAAAAATTAGCAAGAAGTAGATCAAGCTCTTCATGTGGTATATCCAATATTTCTTGACTTTCCTGCTGGGTTGTAAAAAAACTATGTAGCAACTTTAAATGTCCGGATGTTTTTCTTTTAGTGCTTTCATTTTCGTTTTCTGTTATAAAATCGTCTACCTCGTCTGTTGTGAAAGCGATAAATCTATCGTTTGCTTTTTGCTCACCTGGCCCGAAGGGACATGTGAGCTTATGCCGTACTGTGGCGTCAGTCGTTCGTCGTCCGTCCGTCCGTCAACTTTTTCTTTTGAATGACTTCTTCTGAAGAACTGTAGGACCTAGGGTCATGATATTTGGCCAGTAGGTACCTGGGTAGTTTCCTCATTAAAATGACCTTGACTGACTTTCAAGGTCACAGCGGTCAAATATGTTAAAAATCTCAAACAACAATATCCTAAGAACTATTTGAACTAGAGTCATGATACTTGGGTATGTTATGAAGACCAGCAGTGCGAATATTTTTCTCAATTACAGTAATGAGGTCAAAGGTCAACTTAAAATGCTAGTTGGGGTTCAAGTGTCAACTTTGGTAAAAAGCTTCAACAATCTTCTCAAGTTCCATAAGGCCCAGGGTAATGAGATTTGGCCAGTAGGTACCTGGGATGTAGTGCTATAAAGTTTCCTTATTAAAATGACCTTGACCGACTTTCAAGGTCACAGCAATCAAATATGATCAAAATTTCAAACAACAATATCCTAAGAACTATTTGAACTAGAGTCATGATACTTGGGTATGTTATGTAGACCATCAGTGCAAATATTTTTCTCAATTACAGTAATGAGGTCAAAGGTCAACTTAAAATGCTAGGCGGGGTTCAAATGTCAACATTGGTCAAAGGCTTTAACAATCTTCTTCTCAAGTTCCATTAGGCCCAAGGTCATGATATTTGGACAGTAGGTACCTGGGATGGAGTGCTATAAAATTTCCTCATTAAAACGACCTTGACCAACTATCAAGGTCACTGGGGTCAAATATGTTAAAAACTTCAAACAACCATTTGGACTAGAGTCATGATACTTTGTTATGTTATGTAG